AACAACATAACAAAAACAACATACTGGAATTTCCCCAACTTCATATAGACTAGCAGAGGGAACACCTGGAGAGAAAGAAGTACCCACTCTCTGTGGCCATCACTGGGATTGTAGCCTTGGCAAGTGTTGCTCCTCCGGCCCCCAGGGAAATTGATAGTCATGCTAAACTTCCTCTGGAAGCCCCACTAGGATACTAATTGACTGACCAATGGTAATAGCACGTTTTTTCATCAGTTTGGCGTCTCAGAAGTGCAATACGGTCTCCCTGTCCTAGGATATGTGTGGGAGAGATTGATTTTAATATTACCAGTGCCCAGAATGGAGAGTTGTGAGGAATGTCAGTCTCTGTCAGAATAAATAATAATGGCAATTGTTTTTCTCAAACTTACAGAATGGTTTTGAATATATCTATATTTTAAAGTACTTTTTTCTTTCATTAATAGCAAAGTGGAAGATGCATTCTACAAAGGAGAACTCAGGCTGAATGGGGAAAAATTATGGAAGAAAAGCAGAACGGTGAGATATTAAACTTAATAGAGTGACAGAAATTCTGTCTGACACTCTGTCAGGGCTGAGTTAATACAGCCACTGTTTCTCCTCAAGGAATTCTAGTGGCTTAGTGGTAAGGAATTGTACTGCCAACACAAAGGCATGAGATTTGAATCCACCAGCTTTTCCACAGGAAAAAGATGGGCAGTCTCTTCCTGCGTGATTTACTGCTACTAAAAACCCACTGGAGGGTCACCTAGGAGTTGGTTCCATCTGGACACTATTCAACACATTTCTCCTCAGGCTCCTTTTTGAGATCATGGCTCCTTGTGTGTGCCCTTACCACCCCTCTGAGGTCCTGTGTGGTCCTAGTCCAGCTAGGGGGAGTCACCAACAAACTTCAGTCACACAGACCACGTCCTCTTTTGTAGCATTAGTGAGTTTGTGATAAAATTTTAAAGATAGTGAGGCTTCACTATCTTTAAAATTGTAGGACAAGCCACTATGAAAACTGGCACAATTCTGTAAATAAAACTTCCAAGTTGTTAATGTTATACCCTCTGGAATCGTAATGATTAGGTTAAAGTGAAACATCTGACCAGATGTGCAAGCAGCATCCATGACTCAGCAGCGACCCTAGAGTACTCTGTGCTCTCCGTGTGTGTAACAAGAAGAATGTGATGGAGGCATTTCCAGATGATGGTCCATGACAGGTTCATGTCAGGACCGCTGCACAGTGAGCAAAGTCAGTTACAAGAAAATGTAATTGTGTACAGTATCTAGTTTTAAATGATAATAATTTTCTATAAATGCATTTGTATATATGCATGAATAAATTCTGTTAAAATATTTTTGTAAAAATAGATTACGTATATATACACACCCCCTGGAATTAGAACATTTTTATCCATAGTAGTCTAAGTTTAGCATTATTGATTATATTCCTTTTCAACATGTTTTTTATTATCTTAATTGTTTATATTTTTTTGTTTTGTATTTGTGTCATCGTTACTGTTTTTATATTTGTGAGAAGCAATAATCAAAATTATCTGAACATATGATGAACAGTGTTTACCGTTTGGAAGACACAGATGTCTAAAGTATTATTAGAACCATACCCTAAACCTAAGGAGTGCCGGGGCCAGGAGACTGATGTGCTGGGCAAGTTAGACACACTTCAGAGGGGTTTGTAGTAAAACCCCCTTCATGTTCCAAATCAGTCCCTGGGCTGGAGGATCTGAGCTGCCTCTAAGGGACATGGGACAATGTGAGGCAGACAACCAGTGCCATGCTGAGCACCAAGGCTTCCTTCAGCATTCTTGCTCCCTAGGATCGTTCAGGTTCTTGAAGCTAAATGGACAGAATGCCACAAAACTCCTTAATGCCTGTCTGCTGCCTGAAAGTCACAAGGGCCTACAATCCCATTTTCCTCAATAACACTTGACTGAGCAGGTTCAAGCCTAGGCCATGGCGCGCCAGTCATTGCCCAGTGAACTGCACAAATTTAGGTGTTCCTGACATACACAGAAAGATCAGCCCTTCTTATCTGCTAATTGCTTTCCCTGATCTTAGCCCAACCCCCTTCCCAGCTATGGTGTTCTAAATACAAGGCCACACTCTTATAAGGAACAATTACTCTCCCTGAATTTGCTGCCTCTGTACTGGGGCCTCATTTACAAACCCTACAAGCCTGTTTCTCTCCTCCTGCTTTGAGATATTGTTAACTAGAGCCTAATTGCTGCTGCTTCATTCTGCCTTGGGTGTTCTGTTGTCTCGGCTGCCTTCCAGATTTCTCCTGAGGGTCAGCAAAGGAAGGGGCTGGTATTAACACTCTGCTGCCTTGTTACTAGGCGGCTTGGTAGCCATAGTAACTGCAGCTAAGGGGAGATTTGAAATGTAGATATTTGGAACAGCCTTTAATCCCAGCCAGTTTTGCTTTGTGTCAGCTGTACCCAGACTCCCACAAGAGAAACATGAGGGCCTCAGAGACTATAAGAATCCCTCCCTTCCTTGGCCTGCTCTGAGGACCTGTGCCTGGCTGCTAGCGCCGAAGGGTCAGGCAGTTGTGTGATGCTTCTGCATTAACCCTGGCTGCTTGCAGCTGAACACTGCTTTCCTATGAACTGCAAATCAGAGTATCCATAAGGGCTGGTAACTGCTGAATTACACAGTGGATGTCTAGTCCCCAAAGTAGAGAGAATTGAGCCTTCCTGGGATCTTTCCCTGGGATAAGTGGGTGGAGCAGCAACAGCCCATCTGGTCTCTGTTCTAGAAGTCAGCCCCCAAGGCAACTTAACCTTTAGCTCTACACAGCAGCTTATTCTCCCTCTGAGGGCTAACTAGGGGCAGACACTCATTGACAGCATCTCTCTGAAAGTATAGCACCTTTTAGAACTGTTGCCTTTTTATTTTATTGTTGTTGTATGTTTTCTTTGCATATACTTTTCTGGTTTTGTGTTTTACTTTTTTCTGGTTTTTGTTTTTCTTTGCATATACTTTTATACCTACTAAATTTTATGCCCTGTGTACATTTATATAAATAATTAAAAATTATTTTTTTTTAAATAAATTTGAGGGAGCTCTGGTGGCCTAGTGGCAAGACGCTGCACTGCAGTCCCAGAGGTACGCGGTTCAAATCCACCAGATGCTCTGCTGGAGAAGGAGGGGGCAATCTCCTCCTGTACCAGTCAGATCTGATTTGATGGTACACATAAAAAATAATACAATTTAAAAAAAAATTTTGTACCTATGAAGTAGAACAGAAGTAAGCTTTTCATCTACACATTGAACATCCAGGTGATTGCGCTGAGGGAGTAATTTTTTCAAATTCCACCCAGAACTACAGACTAGGACCCTGCCTCTTATACCCCATGTCTGAGCTCTTCCCTCATGCCCAAGGGGATAAACTGTCTTGATGCCTGATGTGGAGGAGGCCTTTCTGCTTCTCAACCCAGATGGGAGGAAATCAGATGAATTTTATATTCATCTACTCTGGGCTGCTGATGGTTGATAGTGTGGGGTGTTGTGGAAACGCATGTATGTGTGCCTGTGTTATAAACTAAACATTTGACCTACAGAGGCCTCACTTGGGTGAGAGAACAGATAGGGGCTTGCTCTGGAAAAGATGATGTGTTCTCACACTGTCAAGTTAGGACTGTCTCAGAGAACATTAATAGGAATATAAGATCAAAGATAACCCTGAGCACCCAGCTCCTTAAACAGAAACTCCAGTAGACTCACATGAGTTTGCCTTCCTTTTGGAAGTGATTTTGGGGAGTCTGAAATGTCCCCACATCATCCCTCCCTTGTATTTTAGTAGAAATGGCAGTGTATGATAGCATTTTCTTGAATCAGTGGTCAGTCTATTGATATCTTGAGCTGCTAGAACAAGGTTGCTGTCATGAGCTGCGCACACCCTGTCAGCATTGCCTTAAGGCCTTGGATGACCTTAGACAGGGCCATCCCAGAGAATATGTGACACTTTTCACTTGATCCAGAGTCATTAAACTCCCTTTTATGTGGCAATTCACCTTTGTGAATTCTCTTCCGCATCTCCTATGTAGCATCAGTGGGGTGAGCCAAGGGGAAAAGCAGTTCCACTTCCATTTCTCTACAAAGTACAGCTGTCCATTCATCCACAGTGACTAATTTCTAATCAGTTACTCCAGGAATGCCCTTTTGTACATAGGGTTTTCATGTTATCAGTACTTTTGGCACCAGCAGTAAGGAAATGCAGAGATGAATTACATTAGGAAAACCTATCAGAGACCTTTCTAGAGTGCTGAGGAATAGTGACATCAGTCTAGAGACTAAGGAGTGCCTGATCCTGGCTATGGTCTTTGCTATTACTGGCTATGCATCAGAGAGCTGGATAATGAATAAGGATGACAGAAGAATCAATGCCTCTGAGTTGTGGTGCTGGAGAAAAGTATTGAACATACAATGGACTGCCAAGAGAACAAACAGGTTTGATCTGGAGAGGGTAAAGCCAAGTTACTCTTTGGAGGCAAGGATCTTAAAGATCTGTCTCACATACTTTGGGCATGTGGCCAGGAGGGAGCAGTCCTTGGAGAAGGGTGAAGGGACAGCTCAGGAGAGGAAGACCCAGGCTGAGATAGATTGACAACAGTGACTGCAGTAATGGGGGTGGATGTGAGACAGTGAGATCTCAGGGCAGAGTTCAGAGATACTGTGCATAGGGTCGCTATGCTCATCGTAATGAGCATAGGTGATGAGACAGATTGGCTCAGGGTCGGGCAGGGCTATTGTGCATAGGGTCACTGTGAGATGCAGACATCTCAACAGCACATAACAGCAACAACTCCAGGAGTTAGAGAGCTCTGGTGGCTTAGTCTGTAGGGAGTTGTGCTTTTAACCCAAAAAGGGTGGTTCTAATCTACCAGCAGCTTCTCGGAAGAACGGTGAGAAATCTCCCCCTGTGAGTTACAGCCTCCAACACCCAGTGGTTCTGACTCCTTGGCAATGAGTGTTGAGTTTGAGTGCTTTAGGAGTTACATAGCTCATCTAGAGTGAAATAAATTAAAAAAATGTTCTACTGGAAAATGTCTTCTTATTTTATGTATGTGGTTAATTAACTGTTGTCTTCAAGTCCATTTCAACCCACAGAAGCCTCATCTTAGTAGAGAACAGCTGTGCTATGTAGGGTTGTTATGGCTGTGACCTCTGGAAGCAGATGCCCGGGCTTTTCTTCCAGGATATTTCTGGGTGGATTTGAAAAGCTAGCTTTTTTTGCTAGTGGCTGAATGCTTGCCTATCTGCTCCCTCCAGACTCCCGTGTACGTGATGTGGTCATTTCTGTTCTTGTACCCTCTGAAACGGTGCCCCTCTTTCTGTTTTTTCTGTTTTGATTCCAACTCAGCCAGTGTCCCTCCATCAAGTTTCCAAAACTGAATTTTAATGGAAGGAGATTGCCTGTCTTTCTTTCTCATAACAGTTGGTGGATTCAAACCACTGACCTTTTGTGGTTTGTGCTACTGTTGTGCTGCTAAGCACAACACACTACACTGCTACAAAAGTTCATTGTGTACTGCTGTTGTTATGTACCATTGAGTCTTAACCGACTCATAGCCAACGCTCCGGCGGGTTTTCAGAAAGTAAATCGTTTCTTCCGATGTGTACTGCTAGTGTTAGCAAAATAAATACTTCCAAGGATTTTTTTAAACCTTCAATGGAGGTGAGTACTCTGGTGGCTTAGTGGTAAAGAGTTGCACTGCCAACCCAAAGTCACATGGTTCAAATCTACCAGCTCCTCCATAGGAGAAAGACAGGCAATCTCTTCCCCTGTGATTAAACTGCCTCTGGAAGCCCACTAGAGGGTCAACTATGAGTTGGTTCTGACTCAGTGATACATAACAACCCCAGTGGTGGTGAGCACTAGAGTCCCTCACCACACAGGGTTCACCTGTAAAAGCCAGTTTTCTAGTTCTGAAGGGAGGATTGAGTGAATGAATGAAACACCCTTTGACCAGAGTTACCAGATACAAATGATTGTTAGATTGTCTCAGAGAACCCAAGGCATTTTCTCACCTGCCCCTCCATGAAATGAGTATAGATTACCTGAGAAAAAGTCAAAGTACTTTTTCCTTTGCCTGGGTTTCCCAAAGTGTAACAGAGACTCAGTTTTATTTCTATTTTCAGGTAAAAGTGGGAGATACATTGGATCTTATCATTGAAGAAAATAAAGAAGCAGAAACAGACACAGTAATGCGAATTCTCCTGAAAAAAGTGCTTGAAGAGAAAACTGAAAGTGAAAAATACAAAGTGGTATTACGGCGGTGGAAAAAGTTAGAATTGCCTAAGAAGAGTAAATCTAAATAAATGACTTGCTTTGTAGACATAACACAGCTTTCTGGGCGCGGGGGGGGGGGGCAGCTTAACAGAGGACACTTTTATTAAAATAAAGTTCTCTTACTATTTTTAGAATCTGCTGGGCCATTTTGTGGAAATTGAGATCCATAGCTTGGAAATAGCTCCAGTGGCCTGGGCTTTATCTTAGCTCATCTTGACCTCAGTTGCCATGAGAACTGTGCCCAGGGTGACATGTGTTATGAATGAACTAAGCCCAAGGAGTTTTTTAATGACTTGGCTGCTATTTCTCCACATTAACTACCTCACAAGTCATTATAAAATAAACTGGCCTTGTTTTTTCCTTGTGTTTTTATTTTTTTATCCTTGTGCTCAACATCCTCGGGTTCAGGCCTAAGGCTGCACCAGGCAAAGTCAAGGCCACTTTTCATATCCTTAGGGGAGAAGCATTAGGTCAGCCTGTCTGCCATCCCTCCTTAACTACCAGCATGTTGACCCTCATTCCCTCCAATTTGTCTTCACAATCTAAATTAGTTCAGTTTACTTTAAGATAAATTGTTTCAGCCAATTCCATCATGGGCTATCTATGGCCCATTTGAAACACAGGCAGCCTAAGCCTTGCTTTTGCATAGCCATTGGGGTAAAAATGGCTTCACATTACAGCGCTATTAAAAAAAATAAAACATAACAAGATTGGTTTGTGACACCAAAAGCCTAAGCAGTTTATTATTGTAAAATGTTTGCTAACTCTGGGTATAGAGCAGTAAGTTCCCTTTTCAGCTGAAAGAGGGAGCTATGTATATTTTATCAAGGAAGAGAGTAATCCTAAAGAAATGCTATTAAAAAAGGACAAATCCTCAAAGGACACATGCATTAGTATACACTCCTTACCTGTGATTAGGGTAAACAAACTGGTTTGCAGATTGAAAGTGGTTGTTTCTTAGCACTGAGAAGCGTTAGCTCAGATAGCTGTTATATGCCATTGAATCAAGTACAACTTGTGGAGACCCTATAAACAACATCTGTGAACTCTGTCCTATCCTAGGTTATCTTCATCATCTGACATACTGCCCACTGCTGCAGTCATTGTGTCAATCCACCTCATTGAGAGTCTTCCTCTCCTACATGGATCCTCACCAACATGCCAAAGTATCTGAAATGACCCTTCCTGTGTTACCTCCAAGGATCACTCCAGGTGCACTTTCTCCAATGTTTGTTCTTTTTGGTAGTCCATGGGATATTCCATGGGATATTTAGTACTCTTCTACAACATCACAACTCAAAGGCATTGATTCTTCCGTTAATCTTTGTCCAGCTCTTGGATACACAGCAAGTGATTAAAAAGACCATGGCCTAAATCAAGTGTTTCTAACTCGGCAAACTGACATTATTGCTCCTCAGTAATTTGGAGAGGTCCCTAACAGCAGACATTCCCAATGCAGTACATCTCCTGATCTAGCTACTAGTGCCAAGGTGTCGATGTGGATCCACGTAAGATGAAATCGTTGACAATCTTCATCTATCATGATGGTGCCTGTTGGTCCTGTGGTAAGGATTTCTGTCTTGATGTTAAGATGTAATCCATGTGGAAAGCTGTAGTCTTTGAACTTTTGCATCAAGTGCTTTAAGTCTTCACTTTGGGTAAGGTTTTGTCATCTGCATAATGCAAGTTGTTGAGTTATCCTCAGATCCTGATACCACATTCTTTATAGAGTTCAGCTTCTCGAATGATTTGCTAAGCATACATATTGAATAGATAGGGAGAAAGGATGCAGCCCTGATGCATACCTTCTTGATGTTAAGCCATGCAGTGTTCCCTTGTTTTGTTTATACA